TTATGGAATTTGTATGTATTTTCCTAGCATATCCACGTGTTTCTATATCTTTTATTCATATCCATGTGTTTTCAAAGCATGTTTGTATCTATATTCATATCCATGTGTTTTCAAAGTGGTAGTGCTATAGCCCTGCACACGCACGCACGCACATGCAGGCCAGCGCTCGCACGCCCGCGCCCGCGCACAGCCGCCGCTCGCATACGCGGGCCCATGCCCGCACATGCTCGCACACGCACGCCCGCACACACATGCACGCACACGAACGCACACGCAGGCCCGCGCCCGCGTACGCACGCCCACACAGCCAGCTCGTTGTGCACTACACATGCACAACCACACTTACACGCACAATGGCAGGCCACAGGGGCACAATGTGTAGTCGGCAATGCGCACCGGTAACCTCTATGGGGATATGGTGGGTGTGGAGACATGGGATAATGGAAGGTTGTTTTGATGAGTTAGATTTCCCCAAGGGTTGTTATGTTGAAAAGGAGGGGAGGTAAGGCTGTTTGAATGAGTTAGATTTTCACACCGACTCGCACCATGGCAGCCTTGTGCAATCGACCGAGTGGGAGGGTAGCATCGATGGGCGCAGGCCTACGTGTGCGTGTGGGCGTGTGCGGCGTGTGTGAGCATGCGCTGGCGGGCGTGTGCGAGCGGCGGCTGTGCGCGGGCCTGCATGTGCGTGCGTGGGCTGTGCACGGGCCTGCGTATAGATACACGATACTAATATTTTAATCTTTGGTTGCAAATGTTGTGACTGGTTCAATTATGGCTTGGCACAATTTGGGTTATGTGAGCAAGCAATGAATAAAGGTACTTACTTGAAATATGCTTCTTGATTTAAAATCCATTGATTTAAATTTTTGTGAAGATTGCCTATTTGAAAAACACCATAGAGCTCCAAAGTCTAAGGTAACAAGTGGAGAAGTATTAGATCTAACACACTCTAATACTTGGAAAGCTACTAAAAGTAGAGTAATACCTTTTTTTTATTTCAAAAAATTCAAAGCTCTAGTTGAAAACCAAAATGGAACATAATTAAGTGTTTGAGAACTAATAATGGGAAGGAGTATACCTTGAAAATTTTTGAAGATTTTTGCAATGGGCATGGTATTGTGAGATAATACACAATTCCTCGAACCCCACAACAAAATAAAGTTGTTGAATGAATGAATTATACACTTTTTTTAAGGCATTAAACTATACACTTATTAATCAAACAAGAAGCATGTTGAGTGCAGTTGGGATAGAGTGGTGCTTTTGTAGAGAAAGAGTCTATATGGCATGTAGACCTATTCATAAGTCAGTATTGAGCTTGGCTTTTTCCAAAATTTGAATGAGCTCGGCCTAAAGTTTGAGTCCAACACAATGTAAATTTAGGTCCAAAGCTCAACTTGTGAATGGGTCTAATTGCATGTTACTTAGTAAACCACTCTCCCATTACAATGCTTGATTGCAAAATTTCAAAAGAGGTATGATTAGAAAACCTATTGATTACTCTTTTCTACATTTGGTTGTGATGCTCATGTTTGGATTCCTAATGAGTAGAAGACCAAGGTAGACACAAGATCTAAAAAAATGTATTTTTCTTAGTTATGCAGAAGAAACAAAGGGGTATAGATTGTAGGATCATATTGCCTACAAGATGCTTATTAGCTGAGATGTTGTCTTTAATGACAATTCAATGCATAAAGAAAGTACATAGTCAAAGTCAGAAACAACAAAGAAGGTTGTAGTGGGGATGCAATTGTTGATGAAATTAATGAAGAGCATCTTGAAACTTTTGGGAGTGAGACTTACAAAAGTTAAGATCAATTAAGGAGAGCTATAAGACTTCCCATTTGGCTCCAGGATTATATAACAACCTATGCTTGCATTATAGAAAAACATGAGCCTTGATCATATCAAGAGGCTTATGAAAGTCCAAAAGCTTGTCATTGGCAAACAACTATAAAGAAGGAAATGAAAATTCTAAAGAAAAACAAAACTTAAGAGTTAGTTAAACTTCCCGAGGATCAGAAGGCCATTGATTGCAAATGGGTGTACAAACTCAAAAAGGACAGTAGCAAGAATGTCGAAAGATAAAAAACTTGAGTAGTTGTAAAAGGATATTCCCAAAAATCAGGTTTCGACTTCAATGAAATATTCTTTCATATTGTTCAATTAAGTACTATTCGTATTGTATTAAGTATGATTGTAATACTTGACTCGGAGTTTGAGCATTTAGATGTCAAAATTGCCTTTTTGCATGGTAATCTTGAAGAAGAGAATTATATGACTCAAATTAAATGCTTTGTCAAAGAAGATAAAAAGGGTCTAGTTTGTTAGTTGACTAAATTGCTTTACGATCTAAAGCAAACGCCAAGGTATTGGTATAAACTATTTGGTTCCTTTATTATGTGCTTGGGTTTTAGCAAATGTGAACCATACCATTGTGCCTACACATTCAACGGTGATGGTCACTTCATCATTTTACTATCATATGTTGATGGCATGCTAGTTGCATGTACCGACAAATAGAGTATTACAACACTAAAAACTCATATATTTAAGGACTTTGACATGAAGGATATGAGGGGAACCAATTAGATTCTTGGGATGATAGTATATAAGGACATGGAGAATAAGAAAATATGAATAACTCAAAGGAGTTATGTTCAAAGGGTCTTGTGTCACTTCAACATGCAAGAATCCAAACCTTCCAGTATCTCATTTCCTATTAGTTTCAAGTTATATTCAGATCAATCTCCTAGACTGAAGTGGAGAAGGCAAAAATATCCCATATACCACATTCATCAATAATAGGTAACTTTATGTTTGCCATGGTGTGTATTAGACCAAACATTGCACAAGTAGTGGGAGCAATTAGTAAATTAATAGAAAATCTAGGAAGAGATCATTGGATTGCGATAAAGAGGATCCTTTGTTATTTGTTATTTGAAGGGTATTTTTAAGGCTTTTATCTATTACAGTGGCCAAATCTTGAAGTTTTGATTATGTGAATGCAAAGTATGCAGGAGATCGTGATGATAGAAAATCAACTATTGGCTATGTATTCTCTTTAGATGATGGTGTAGTGAGTTAACACCGAAGTTGTAATCTGTAGTGGTTTTGTCTACAACAGAAGTAGAATATATGTCAGTTACACAAGCATGTAAAGAAAGTATTTGACTAAAGAGGTTGCTTAAAGAGTTTAACATTAAACAAAAAGTGGTTTGTGTAGAGTGTTGATTGTAGTTAGGTTCTATTGCAATTTCTCTTGTTTTATAATGAAGAAAAAAGCTCCGAGTTGTCGCTTGTGGACATAGGCAATTTGGCCAAACCACGTTAAATCTGGTGCTCTCTCTTTCTCGCTCTTTGGCTCTTTACTATTTCCATTTTCTTTTCTTTTGTGCACCTATAATTTATAATGTATGCTACATCACTCTCAACATATTCATTGACCAAGTTCAATGAAGAATAGACATGTTCATGGGCCGGGCTCGAGCTTGACTTTTGTCAAAATTCTAATGGGCCCAGCCCGAAGCCTTAGCCCGAGACTGTGTAAAGTTGGGCTTGAAGCCCGACCCGTGAACAGGTTTAATGAAGAATATGATTTATAATAGATAAGTAGACTTAACTGAGAACCTGCCCTTTGCATCATACTTTCACATTAGCCGATCCTGACCATCCTAACCGAGGGAGCTCCAAACTACAGATTAAATTAGTTATGACTTGGTTAAATAATTCCCTAATTTTCTCTCTGCTCTAACTATGGTTATTGATCAATTAGATCTAAGACCCACTATTTTAGGTCAATAGCTTCAAGCATGAAAAAGATTCTACTCAGGTTGCGTTTGGAAACAATGCGAATATGTGCGAATGCAAATATGTAGAGTGTAAAATGGTTCATATAAATTGCAAAGTTGAGTTAATTTTGCATTGACAAATTTACTTTCTTACCAAACAGACTTTTAGCTGTAATGGATGCAAACACGAATTCCAATAATCATTTGCTTTTTTTTTTTATCAAAAGCCCACTTGAATGCAAATTTACTTCTTTTTTATCGATGTACTTTTACATCTTATTATCAATGTAAATATGCATTGGTATGTCATTTGTCAATTTAAAAATGTAATGTTGTCAAACAGGCAAAAATGAACGAAAGTACAAATTTACCTTGAACCGGGATTTACACTCCATTTGCATCGTTTCCAAACATAACCTCAAAGATTATCACATATGCTAATTTGTGTCCCATTGCCAACCTTCCAACAAGTCCCCTTTATGAGGACATCTCTACCTACAAGAAGACTCTTAAATCCCAAACTTTAGTTGTCCAAAAGAGTACACCTCTTAGGTATCTCCTTCCAATTAACTTAGGGGCCATTTGGCACATCTTTTCGCGCAGTCTTTCGGTTGTTTACAAGTCGGGAAGATTGATTTTTGGTTTATTTCCATTTGACATGCGAAAGATCTAACCGCCAAAAGACGGAATGCCAAAAAGACGCGAGAATCCCATTTTGGGCTGATTTCGGGAAGCTCTAAATGAAGGTTCTTGCGTCTTTCACGTTTTAATCTCACGCGGAAAGACATACATATGACAAATGTGCTTTGGACTGTTCAAATTTTCATGCAAAAGCTCGATGCATCTTTTACATGTAAGAGCTACCAGAAGATCTTTTCAAAAAGATATGCCAAACAGGCCATTAGCCCATACTCTCTTATTTTTTACAAAATCTTAAGGCTAGCTTAGCCGAGAGAGCTTGGTTAAACATAAGGAGATCTCTAAACCCAATTTATTTCCACAAATGTTTTTCCAACCTACCCACCCGATTTGTTTTTTGCTATTTAAATCCCGCTCTTTCGATCATAGCTGATCAGACCACCTCTTATGATAAAAAAAAATTTATGGAATAAAAATTTACAGTTCAGTGCAGGGATGTTTATGTAATTTACAAATAGTGTAAGGTTTGCCAAGTATAAACACAGACACACCATTATCCGTTATTGCTGACTTTGATCATCATACATACGGAGTGGGTAGAGAGACAGTAAATCAAATTCTCCATCAAAATCTGAATCTGAAGGAACGAAAGAAAAGAATGGTATGAGATGATGCAGCATATATAGAAGACAACCTGAAATCAGCACTCGGCCATGGCTGTTTCTATGTCTAACGCACCGCCCATTCACCTTCACAGAAACCTTATTTCCCTCCATTTCCCGCCTTCTGTTCTGTACTCTCCGCCCCGTCGAAGCCCGTTGTTTCACCCACGTCTCCATGCCCTAAAAACTGAATCCGATAGTGGGAGTGTCAGGAGCCAGGACGCCTATAATCCAGATTTGCTAAGAAAGCCTACTATATCACCAATAGACGACGGCGATGTATTGTCGAAGAAGGGAGGCATGTCTGGCCTCTCGGACGACAACGAGGGATTGGAGGACGAAGGGAAGAAAATTTACAGGCAGCGGGAGGACGAGGAATGGGTTGACTGGGAGGACCAGATTTTGGAGGACACTGTGCCGCTTGTTGGCTTTGTCAGGATGATTCTTCACTCTGGAAAGTGAGGTCTTTTCTTCATCTCACAGAGATTGATTGTGTGCTAAACTGATTTGTTTGTAAAAATTTGTCATTGACATGTAGGCCTTTTGTTTCTTCTTCTTTTGCTAATATTATGCTGAATGGTTCTCACCAAGATTGTCAACTGGGAGTCTGGGTGATCAATTGAGTTATATCAAATACCTTTTAATTTTGAAAGTGGGACTTTAGATTTGATGACCAACTGCAATATCACAAGTATTCACAAGTATTCAGAGAATCCACTGGATTAGCTTAGGCAGTGTGTTTTCATTATGCTCCTTCAATCCTCTTAAGATTTGGCTAATCTACTTTGGTTTTTCCTTTTTGAACATTCAAGGTTAATCCGTCCTGCTTGTAGGACTCTCATTGGGCCATACTGCTGGTCTGATTTTTTACGCCAAGAACTTTGCCATGGGGGGGGGTATCTTAATTCTTAACCAGTTTTGCATTGAGTTTTCCACCCAAGCATTGTGTCTCAAATAATGTTGAGTGATTTGCTAACAATATGAGAGATACAACTTCGTTATATGTCTCTTTATGATCACAGTCGACTAAGGAAAGTACTTTTTGTAGTTGAAATTGCTTTCAATACCCATTGTCTCTGATTTGGTAGTAGAGGGATTTCTTGTGAACCCATTCTTTCGGAAATACCTCTTCCAGGCAAGATGACATTAGCTTACATTAAATGATTAAATGCTGACTATAGTACTGTAGTATTTTTTTTAAGTGACCTTGATTCAAAATAATAAAGAAAAAGAGACCCTAATTTTAATTGCTACATACAATTGCCACAATTAAAAATAGGTAGTACACACTAATCAATATACATAAGGAGAAATAATTACTTGTTTGATCCCACTATATTGTACATCTCTGTAGTGCATAGTTTGGAACTTGAACTACATTCTGTGTCCGATATATTCTATGTTTTACAGTCCTAACCTTTTTAATACATTATTCAGCCTTCTCCTGAGTCCATGTTTTACTGAGAACTGATATTACTTGTTTCCCTTGTTGTATAATTATTGTATTTTTTATCCTTATCTCCTTTATTTTTGCACTTGGATTAAATGTGCTAAATAGTAGTATTTTTTCTTTAAGGTTATTCAGAAAATCAATGATGTCATTGTTCTTTTTCTCCAAGTTATATGGATATAATAATGCCAATCCATTTACATGTGTAGTTGCTGTCTTTTGTTCTTAATTATGGTCGTGTTTATGTAATAAATACTTCTGGTGGGAGGCTTTCTCATCCTTCTCTTTCCCTAGAATTTATCACTGTTCCCCAAATCAGCATGCTATGGTTTCCAATTTCTTCTGGAGTAGGGGATCACATGATTTATTAGAATCTTTATCTTAAATTGAAAATATATGTTGCTTCTCTTGTTGGGGCTCTTAGAGGAGTTTTTGTTTCCCCTTTTGAACTGATTATTGAATTTGGCAACTAACTTCTGTTTTTTTTTTTCCTAATAAATCATTTCATCACATCTAGCCCTGTAGCTTTCCTTTCCCTGACAGGATTTGGTTCTCCATTCTGCTGTCAGGACCTTTTTCCTTGTTTACTGGGGAAGTTTATTGGGCAGAATTAATACTTGTGATACTTAAGAAAAACAATTGGAAAATCATTTGCTTCTTCTCAGATGTGCATCATGTGCCTCAAGGGATGGAGAATCTGTGATCCACCTTCTGTTGACTGCTTGATCACAAGGCAACTTTGCCACACGTTTAATCTGGTTGGTCTCAAATTGGTAGTGCCCAGCTACCTTATTAGCATGTTCCTACAATGAAGGGTCATGGCTATTTTGGAAGAAAGTAACAAATACATATTTGGTAACAAGTTTCTTTTGAAGCTTTGAGAGGAAGACCTCCCGTCCCTTTAATATAGATCAGCCTTCTACAGCTATAGAGGATACAATAAATCAATTTCTGAAGGCTGATAAAAAAATAAATAAATCAATTTCTGAAGGCTGATAAAAAAATAAATAAATCAATTTCTGGAGAGATTTGAGCAACCCCTAAGTTACTAAAACATTGAAAGAACAAGGAGGAATCAATAGCTGCATTGAGATATGGATGCTAACAATTTCTAGATTGATAATTTCTATTTTATGAGTTAAATCTAACTGTTATTTTTCTTTAGTGAGTTCCCAGATTTTTTACAAACACATGCTTAAATACATGATATCATATTCATGCAAACACATATATTGCATATGCAAATGATAAATAAACACCATATTTTGGTAATATTGTACAATAAGCTGTCTTTCATCATCATCCTCTCTCCTTTTTATGTAAACATACTTAAATGCATAAACCAATACATGTATGATGCATAATGTACAAAAATATATAATTATTACTGTAATACTTTGCATTTGGGTTGGGTTGGGTTGCCAAAGGCATCAACCCTAACCTAACCCAACTTTATATCATATTGGATTTTTCCAATCATAACCCTAATCCTTCAACCAACCCAACCTAAGTTGCACTTGCACCCTAGCTCAAGGGGTAGTTCTCTTGAGACTTTAACCTCCTTACTGGAGTCAGGACAACTAAGGAGAAACATTTGAGATGCTTGATCGTTGAAGGAAATTCAACAAATGCAATTAATTAGAGGCAAAGTAGGCAGGCCTTGGAAGTTAGTGCACTACCTCAATGAGATAAGATAGGGCACTTCTATTCTTTTGGCTCAAATCAGAGGGATACCAGGAGAGAGAAATTTGGTTGCAGATGGGCTTGGTAAAGTTGGTGTACATAGGGCGTTTTTCTATAGTGATAGATCCCCCTTTTTGCATATATTTACTACAATCTTGGTTCTCTTCTTTGACAAAAATGAACTTAAGTTTGTTACTGATAGAAAATGGCAATCCTACTTTTTTTTTTCAAAAAATTCTGCTATCAAACTGTGTATTGTGATTGAAGGTCAATGGGCTACCATTCAGGATTACTTTTGAGTTCTAAAATCATGTGCTTCCAAACTGTTCATATATTATGGATGTATTGCTAACCGAGAAGGTTCCAAATAAACTCTTTCTATCCAATATATCCAAAAAAAAGGTCTCAGAAGTCAGAACTGGTTAATTTTGTAACAGATTGTGGGGATTTGTCTTCTTGCAACTTGCATCATTTTCAAACCAATCAAAAAAGGAAAATAACTTGCATCGTTCATCTTTTAACTGAACTACTATGCTTGGGGTTGGTAACTGGGGCTGAAAACGGTATCCATTTGACTGAATTCAAATATGGTTCCACCCCAATCCAATTCGACATATCCAACTATATCAGCTACATTATTTCTGTTTTGCCATTCGTTCTGTTCAACATCATCTCTCTCTCTCTCTCTGTGCTTTTCTCTACCAATATATATTAACAAAAAGTTGTAGGTTCAGTTCAAACCATTTTATTCGTGCTATAAAATATCAAAGTTATTTTTATTTTTAGTTCAGTTTATTAATATTATAAAGTATTCTGACTGTTTTAATTTGTTTTATTAATTGTATGAAATATCTGAATCTGATCTGAGTCTCATCTGAATCAGGTTGATAACATGTGAATTTGAATTTGAATGTTAATTGGTCAAAGTATATCCAGTCAATCCTTTTGCAGCCATATTGACAACTAACTTGATAGCCCTTGGAGATGCATGGAATTGGAATTCCTGCATAATTTTCCCCAGTTTAGGAGTTGATGTCCCCTTCTACTGGAGTTCACCCATGTTCTTCTGTCTTAAATGTTTTTAGCTATCATTTCATCTCTCCCTGGTCATCTGGCAGAAAATATACCAATGACCAATTGGAGAAAGAATGGAAGAAAGAAGAGAAGATATGCAATATGATAATTTTATTCATTGATAAAAAAATAATTTTATTCAGTCATTAACTAAGAGAGCCTTAGGAGTATAATTGAGGAATCACAGACCTCCAGATATTTCTAACTTTAAAATGGATTAGGGGAATTACTTCATTCCAGCATCTGAGATCATCATAGTTAATTTGTTACATCTGGATCCATTTTCCAATGGAAAAAATCTGGCTGACATGTTTGTCCACGCTATAATATTTGCAGGAAGAGGTGAATTTTGTTTGGAGTGAAACTTTTTACATTATTATTCCTTTTATGTTTCAGTACACTGAAAGGAATCATTGCTGTCTTCTAGTACTCATGTTCCAGAACCTGTGAATGCAGTCGTCTTTTTTTTTGTTTTTTGTTTTTTTTGTTTTTTTTTTTGTGTGTGTGTTTTCTTTTAACATGTGCAAATGTGATTGTTTATTGCAGATATGGAAGTGGTGACAGACTGAGCCCTGAGCATGAAAAAACAATTCTGGACAGATTACTTCCATATCATCCACAGTATGAAAAAAAGATTGGATGTGGAATCAACTACATCACAGTATGTTTCTGTTAATTTTAGTTCTCTTTCTATATAATAAGTCTAATTTCCAATAACAAAAAGCTAAAATTTATTTTGGAAGATATATTTTAACTATTAAGTCACAATTTTGGGCCACCCCACAGAATGAAGAGGTCACCACTCACCATACTATACTGACTAAAAGCAAAGGAAAAAACATTTAAGAGAAAATGATATAACACTTAATAAAACTAAAATAAGCAAATTGAATAAATCAAATGTAGTTAACATAGATCCTAATAAAATGTTTCAAATATTTTCATTTTAATGCACTCCGGACAATCATTGCTGCTTAGTATGGTTGTTTTAGTGCTAACATATACATGTTAAACATAGTTTTCAAGGTGCTAAGGGGGGGTGCCTTGTCGCCTAGTCGCCTAGGTGATGGATTTTTTTTTTCTTAAAGTAAAAATCACATATCCTAGGGTAGTTCCCTAGGTTCCATAACCAAATTTCTTTAATAACTATCCATAATTTTCAAAGGAAAATTATAAAGTTCATGTTTAAGTCCAGAAAATCAACATATTTATGAGAAGAAAAAGAAGAAAGGAAAGAAAATTCAAAAAATATAGGGGCTGAACCCCTATTTTTGTTATAGGAAAAGAAGAAAAGAAAAGGTGGAAGAAGAAGAAGAAATGTGTTGATTAGACAAAATTTAAAGAAATTAGTTTATAAACACAAAAAATGAATATTTTTATTTAATAATGTCTATTTTATAATTATAATCTAAAAAAAAATAACAATAAAAAAGTATTTTATTACACAGTATGCAAAACTGCTTGGTGGGCGAGGCGAGCCTCCAAGGGCGCCTTGTCGCCTAGGCGTCACCTTGACAACTATGATGTTAAACAAGTTTTTTCAGCCCAAGTTCTGTCACTCGACAGTACAGGCCATTTTATCTCTTGAACAAATGTTGTTTAACTTGTATAGCCATGCTGCAGTACAAAGTCTTGATTCAATGGCTGAAAGTGATGTTAATAAATTACAACCATGATGCAGTGGATTTCATCCTTGCCTACTTTCCAAAATGGCAAGCCATACAAAACATATGAAGTATAGAGGACCTTAAATAAACATTTTAACTTGGAAACCAATATACATACATGTGTGTTGCTGCATTTATTTCTATTCTTTAAACTCTACATTTTATTGGACCGAAGGCTTTATAATAATGCCAACTTTGATCAGATTTGGTTAGGTTTATGTTCTGATTTGCTTTGGGTGTGTTGATAATGCAAAATTTGGTTTGTCTTGGACAGGTTGGTTATCATCCTGATTTTGAAGGTTCACGTTGTTTGTTCATAGTACGGAAGGATGGGGAATTGGTAGATTTCTCATACTGGAAATGCATAAAGGGACTCATCAAGAAGAACTATCCTCTCTATGCAGACAGCTTCATTCTGAGACATTTTCGACAGCGTAGACGCCGTGAATGAAGTTGACAAATAAACAAATATGATGCTTGCTACCATGTATAAAAAAGAGAACAGAGAGTTGGGAGTTGGGTTTGGATTACATTTGTTTTAAACTATTTGAATCATCGTGGTACAAATAACTTTGTAACATTTAGGGGCAGGAAAGAGATTGTTGAATGCACAAATTGGTGTCACCTAATGCCATTCATTTCATCTGTATTAACCATGGGATGCTGTGAAACGGCTCGACCTTTTGTCATTCTAAAATTTTTTATGGTTTGCACTTTGCACTGTGTTACTTTGTTGACAAGGGGGATAGGTCTCCCATTTATTGATCTGAAGTAAAGGGGACAGATATTGAAAGGAGAGGGCTCCGAATTCTCTACTGGCCCGACGGTAGTTGAGGTGGTATTCAACTATTCATCAAGATTCAAGAGGGGGGGGGGGGGGGGGGGGGGTGGGGTGATCGGTGAATCCCTTTGGTATTCAACTATCGCTGCAGACTTGGTTCTTGGGAAAGCTCACTCTCACAAACTTCTGAAGACCCAAAGCTGGGAGCTGTGACTTCTTTCTGGCTGTGATCAAACTTAGAAGTTATCGAAATATTACATCCTGGTTCTCTGAGGAAACTGTGAATCACATCTTACAGATTTCCAGATCCTCCACACAAAATTCAGATATCCTATTATGGAGGGGATCAAGAAATGCTAAATATTCTGTGGCTTCAGGGTACAGATTTTTCACAAAACACATTCCCAAACAAATGGAATATCATTTGAAAGGCAAAAACGCCTTTTAAGTTCCACGTATTCATGTGAAGGGCTTGGTGGGAGGGGTATCACGAGGGATAAACTCCATTTTCTACACGAAGACAGACTGTTCTATCTGTGCACCGTTGAAGGAGTCTTGGGAACCCATTTTTTTTCTTGCCACTTTGCAAAGGCCTGCTGGTTTACAGCCCAGATGGATGTAAACCCAGATGAGTTCACAGGTCAACAGTTAGGGGTGGCAAATGGGTGGGTTGGGTTGGGTTGGGTTGGGTAAGGGTTGAAAACCAATTCACCCATCTTGACCCACCAACCTACCATGACCCACCATCAATGCTTGGTAAAGGGTCATAACTAGACCTGTTCATGGGCCGGGTGGCCCGACGGGCCGGCCCGGCCCGGCCCGACCCCCGGACGGGCTTGAGCATGCTTATAGGCCCGAGGGCTTAAAGTCGGGCCAAAAAGCCCGGCCCGCAATAAATTCGAGCCGGGCTCGGGTTTTGTCAAAATAGCCCGGGCTTTTTACCAGGGCCGGGCTCGGGCCCAAGTTATAGGCCCGTTGGTTGGGCCGGGCTCGGGTCGGGCCCAGTATATTTTCATTAGTGACAAGTGAAAGCCCGACCCGAGCCCGGCCCGGCCCGGCCCGGCCCATGAACAGGTCTAGTCATGACCCACCCAAACCCTGACCCACCCATATTGACCCACTTGACCCATTCATATTGATCCTTACCCACCCTCACTTATACTGTCCTCCTACCCTCACCTATAAATACAAAAGCGGGTCGGGTCAATCTGTATACCCGAAAACAACAATGCCAAGAAAATATTCTCTATCAAGAATACCATGTGGTAGAAACGGGTCAGGTTGACCCGTAACATATTCAGGGACTTGATCACTTAACAGTTTAAGCTTTTAGGTTGAACGGTTCTTTGGGATGGTATCAAAGCTTGTTTGACCAAGTAGTTTAGTGCTTGATCCTTTTTTGAGATGGTACCAAAGTTTGTTTGACCAAGTGGTTTAGTGTTTGATCCTTGTTGCCCCCATTATAATTAACTAATTTCAGCACAAGGTATATGAGTGATTGGATTTTGGTTTAGTGTTTGATCCTTGATGAGTGGTTGGGTTTTGGTTTAGTGCTTGATCCTTGTTGCCCCCATTATTATAGTTAACTAAATTTCAGCACAAGGTATATGAATGATTGGGTTTTGCATGAGGGGGCATGTTAGAGACTGACATTTCTACAAACAGCCTTCTACACATGCATTTTTAAAGTGTTGCTTGTTCCACTATAAACACCCTCAGCTAACAGTTGTATGCTAATTTCTATTATTGTATTGATCACCCAAATGGGTAGAAACAGCAATGTGGACTACAAAAATTCGTCTCATGACTCTTAGTTGTGCTTTTCTTTTGAATTCCAGGCGCTAGACTTCTTTGGCTTAAGTTTCTTATATTATGTCTATAAAAGAAGTTGCAAAAAAAAGGGAAAAAGAATTAATTGAATGAAATTAAAAGTATTGGTTCAAATTATGTTTTCTACCCTCATAATTAGAGAGAAAAAGAGAAAATGAGAGTTAATACATTAAGTATAAGAGTTAATGAGATGGAATAAAGTAAACTTAAAAGAAGTAATTTAAGTTACATTCTTTGCCATGCAACAAACACCAAAAAAAAGTTATGTTCTTTGCCCTCACAATAGAGAGTAGGGTACAAGTCAGGCCGGATTAGGTCAGATTGAAGTCAACCCTTCGGTTAAGATTGGGTTTGGGTTGGCCCAATTTCTCTACTTCCTTTTACCAAATGCATTTAGTTTTTTAGAATCTAAGACTTCATTTGGGAAGAGTGCAAATATAAATATGATCAGTACAAATGCAAATATGTCTAGTTCATGAAAATGCAAAGTTGGCTTAGTTTTGTAGTGATAATTTTGTACTCTTGCCAAATGATTTTTAGTTATGAAAGGTACAAACATAAGTCTCAAGGTTGAAATATACCTTTTAGCATTTATCAACTTTGAGTGCAAAGTTTGCATCCATTTTGTAGATTCAAACTTTTCCCTCATTTTGAATCCAAGTATATGTCTTCAAATATGTTTTTGCTGCCACTTTCAAGACATAAATGTAGGGCAGAGCCAAGGGGGACCCAAGGGAGCCATGGTCCCCCTTATGGTCCAAAAATCTCCACTATTCCATATAAATTTCCCTTTCCCCCACTCCCCACCCCAATGGGTTGGCCCCCTATGACTCCAAATTTATTCTCCCCCCTCCCCCCAATCCATCTTAGGTTTTGGCCCTCCTCATGAAAATTTCCTAACTCCGCTCCTGCATAAATGCACTCTTAACAAACACTAGCAAAACTGAACCAGACTGCAAATATCCATTGAACTGGCATTTGCATTCTTCCCAAATAAAGGCTAAGGGTTCGTGCTAATTCAATATTAGCATTATTATGTGAAGTACACAGTTAGGGGCGGATTCGAGCAAAGCCGAATAGTACCAGGCTCAAGCTCGAGCTTGAGTTCGGCTCGAGTCAAAAGTTCATAAGCTCGAGTTCGGCTCGTTTTATATTTTATAAAAGTATTTTATTATATATTTTATAAATATTTTATCATAAAAATATTTAGAAAAAATATTTTATAAAAATAAAAATTGTATATAATTTTTTTATTTTATATTTAAAAAATTAAGAATTATAATATTTTTATTATATATATTATTTTCTATAGTTTTATTATATATATATTATTATATATATTAAATATCAAATATATATATATAGCCAGCTCGTGAGTCTCACGAGTTATGCATGAATAATGAATTTGCATATACACAAATATTTACATGCATAAATGCATATTTATATAATATTTATACATGCAAATATGAAGTTAAATTGAGTTTGGATGGGGTTAGGTTGGTCAGGGCCTCAACCCTAACCCAAGCTCAAAGTTAATTTAGTTCATACTGTCCAACCATCGGATTGGATCATGATCCGATCTGAATTCAAATCCAATTCGATTTTACTGAATTCGGGTACCCGTTGGATTTTTGAATAAGACTGGATCACAAAATAGGATCTGTTACGAAATAATTAAGATTGAATTCAAAAAGTATCTTGCCATGCCAAATTGCCAACAAACCAAGTAAAGCTGAGTTTTGGGCCAATCATTATGGACTTAAAAATCCTGCCCAATGTGAAAATTCATATAGCAACACTTTTTATGGATGCCAAAGGAGTAATTAACCAACAACATCATGCAAAATACCGATGAGCTACAGCTAAGTCTACATAACAAATGTAGCCAGTGTGCAGCAATTTTTTTTTTTGTTTAGTTCTCAGTTAAATGAGGGAATTATCAAAACTATGTAATTAACCTTTAGTTGCTTTTATTTTGCAAATAGAGTCCATTTGTGTTTCTTGAAATGTGATTATGATTCTGGAATGATATGATACCAGAAAAACTTATAATCAATCGGTAGACATCAAAAAATGGTAATTAATCAGGTGGGTTTTGATTGGTCAAAGTCTTTTTAGTGGCATCATGGATTTTTTCATATTTTTATCCATTAAGTCTCATTGACAAACTAACAGCAAATTATTAGTACAAATTGACAATCAACAATAAACAATTATCAATATTTTTTTTCAAGGAAATGATATAATATTTATATTTTCTTTTAATCCCTTCTATCATCATATTAGATATTGGGTTTTCCCATGCAAGACTGATTAGGCGTAATTATATATATATATATATATATATATATATAATTGAATTCAGATCATATGGGTTTTCTAAAGATTGGACTTCAATATAACCCGATTTAAATCCGATACAACGTGTTTGTTTCCCTAAACCCAATCCAGCCTTAGTTTTTTTGGGTTGGATTCCGGCTAACCCAGCCCAAGTTGCAGCCCTAATAAAAAGGGACCAAATTCAAATAACAGAGGTATTTTACAAGCAAACTTACAGGAATTGGCATAGTGTATAACGATTGGCCCAGTATTACAAAGTAATACTATAGAAGATAGAAACTTGATCTTCCATCTGGATCACAAGTTGTATGTGTGACATCTAAGGCTGCAAATTGGATTCAAATTTCCCCCCTTCATCAGGCCCAGATCTTCAAGCCACACTCTTTCAAAATTTAACAAATTCTTGACCCAGGCCCACGTAAAACTGCACCCTAGTGCCGTGCCGTCCATAAATAAACCATGGACTACGGTTGCCTGAAGAGATGGAAAGAATTTAAGAAGAAAATACCAGAAAGCACAGAGAATAATTGCAAAGTAAATAAAAAAACGTGCCAAACACCACCATATTCTAATAACTATTCAGTAAATTAAGGAGTGCTATGGTAGGGTGAAGACACTCTCAAGGCAAGAGCACCTGGACCCATCATTGAAAGTGTCCCACCTAAGAGATTATCTGTATCAAAAAATCAGCAATATCAAATGATTTTGGACCATTAGATTGTGTATTAGATCTGGAGTCCAATGCAATTCTTCTCACCA